TGGGATATTACTTTTGCAATCAGGCCACCGAAAAACTCTGGCTTCTCTCTGGCTCCCCCTCATGCTTCTTGTGAGGGAAGCCAGTTGCTGTGCTGTGAATTGCCCTGTCGAGCAGCTTATGTCACAAAGAACTAAATAGTAACAGCAACAGCCTGTAGGAGTCCTGCCAACAGCCACACATGTTAGCTTTGAAGTTGATCCTTCCCCAGTGGAGACTTCAGATGAGCCTGCAGCCCCAGTGATGCCTTAACTGCAGTCTTGTATGAGACTTTGAGATGACCCAGTTCACCCCAGACTCCTGACCTGCAGGAACTGTGTGATAATAAATTTCTGTTGTCCCAAGCTGCTAAATTTTGGCATAATTTGTTACACAGCCATAGGTAGCTAGTACAATCATTATGACATTTTCTTTTCTGTTTAGTTGTAGAGCTTTTAATTTGTCCTCCCTTAACTTCCCCTTCCCATCCCCTCAACAACTGTCAACAGACTAAGCACTCCTTCCAAGTATTTTCTGTGTTCCTATAATCCAATAAAAAATATTATATATGTGTGAGACTTACTGGACTTCCCAGGCAGTGCTAGTGGTAAAGAACCCACCTGCCAATGCAGGTTAGATGTAAGAGATGTGGATTTGATCCCTGGGTCAGGAAGATCCTCTGGAGGAGGGTACAGCACCCTACCTTCTTGCCCGGAGAATCCCATGGACAGTGGAGCCTGGCGGGCTGCAGTCACACAGAGACACGGCTGGAGTGCTTAGCATGCACTCACGCTGCTGCTCCTGAGTCGCTGCAGTCGTGGCTGACTCTGTGCGACCCCACAGACATCAGCCCACCAGGCTCCCCCGTCCCTGGGATTCTCCAGGGAAGAACACTGGAGTGGGTTGCCATTTCCTTCTCCAATGGGTGAAAGTGAAGTTGCTCAGTCGTGTCTGACTCATAGCGACCCCATGGACTGCAGCCTACCAGGCTCCTCCATCCATGGGATTTTCCAGGAAGAGTACTGGAGTGGGGTGCCATTGCCTTCTCCCGTGCACTCATGCATGTGAGACTTATTAGGCCATTCCATTATTTATTCTTGAACAGCATTTTCTGGCTTCATTTCAGACACAGGCACCCAAAGTGCCCCTGGCACCTGTGAATCATATTTGTTCCCTCCTCCCTGCCAAAAGGAAATCCTAAAGAATCTCGTAGTTTACATAAGCAGTTAGCAGCAGCTGGCAAGAGCAGCAGAGATATACATGCTTCTATTTATGTCCATGGGAATCTGGGACTTAGCTTTAGGGTCCTAAAAAACACAGACAGCCTTAAACAATGGAACACGTGCTGCTCTGAAATCACAGACCTCAGAACAGCAGGACTACAAAATGAAAGTGCTTTTATTTAAAACAAACATCCCAGCCTCTCTGCAGCCAAATGAGTGTCATTCTTCCAAGGGGACACTGTTCGAATAATTTTTGGAATCCTTCTTTGCAAAGTGCCTTCCCCAGTCTGTTCCCATGAAGTGGTAAAGAACCTGCCTGCCAATGCAGGAGGTGTAAGAGATGTGGGTTCGATCCCTGGGTCAGGAAGATCTGCTGGAGCAGGGCATGGCAACCCACTCCAGTATTCTTGCCTGGAAAATCCTGTGGATAGAGGAGCCTAGTGGGCTATAGTCAGTGGGGTTGCAGAGTCGGACACGACTGAAGCGACTGAGCCCGCACACACGCACAGAAAAGAACACTAGGCTTAGTCCTCCAGGCTTCATTCTCGGCCCCTCCTCCTGCCCCACTCCCTAACTGGCTGACCTTTCTTGTGCCCCGGCTGAAATATCTCCTCCTTAGGGTTGCCCTGCCCATTCTCAGGCTAACTCCATTCCCCCTGCGACTTGCCCCCAGAGCACTTACTTCCCCTTAGGTGGCCCTTGTCATGATGGACAGAATAATTCATTTTATTTTTTAAAGATTTTTTTAAAAATGTAGACCATTTTTAAAAGTGTTTTTTGAATTTGTTACAATATTGGATCTTTTTCATATTTTGGTTTTTTGGCTGCAAGGCATGTGGGAATCTCAGCTCCTGGACCAAGGACTGAACTTGCACCCCCTGCATTGGAATGTGAAGTCTTAACCACTGGACCACCAGGGAAGTCCCTAGGATCATTTAGATCAGGGATCTAATGCCTAACGATCTGAGGTGGAACTGATGTAATAATAACAGAAATAAGTGCAGTGCATGCGTGATCAGTTGTATCCGACTCTTTGCAACCCCATGAACTGTAGCCCACAAAGCTCCTCCGTCCATGAGATTTTCCAGGCAAGAATACTAGAGTGGGTTGCCATTTTCTACTCCAGGGGATCTTCTCGAGCCAGGAATTGAACCCGAATCGGTTGCGTCTCCTGGTAATGGAAGGCAGATTTTTGACCACTGTGCCATCTGGGAATTCCCAATAGAAATAAAGTGCAAAATAAATGTAATGAGCTTGACCCATCACCAAAAAAGTGTCTTCCATGAAACCGGTCCCTGGTGCCTGAAAGGTTGGGAACCGCTGACTTAGATGTCTTTCCCACAGGCAGACAGAGCCCTGTGAGGACAGAGATTTTATATCTTTACTGCTGCAACCCCAGGGTGTGGCCCCAGCCCTACAACACAGTAGGAACTCAATTAAAAAATTATTAAACAAGTGTAAAAGCCTGTTTGCAAAAATCACATCCATCTGCAAAGGACCCAGATTTGTCACCCTTCACAAGAGGGACAGCTGGCACATATCAAGAGCTTACTGCGGACCCAGCACCAGGCTCTCAATAAGGCCTCTTTCCTTTGATCCATAGACAATGCTGTCCCCTGGGAACTGTCACCGCTGATTTACAGATGAGGAAATTGAGACTCAGGGTAATGAAATCACACAGTTTGGCCGCCACATGGTTCGGAGGCTGTTTAACTCCATTATGCCAGATCATCATTTTTGTTGTTGTTAAATGAAAAAGAAATACTCTGGGAATTTAAAAAATCCAGATATGTACAACGGAAAATAACCCACTACTCTAGATTCCCACTGATCAGAATTTTAACTGATGTTAATGTCTTGGCCCATTTTCTTCCTGCTTCCTGTCTTCTTTTTCTTTCTTCACTTCTCCTGGTTGAGAACATCCAGAAGAGTGTGCTGAAGTTCTCGGCAACCATTTCTAGAGAAAGGCAGGGTGCAGTCTTGCATCATGTAGAAGGTTGAAAATACTACTTTTCTGTCTCTCGAGATGGCAGCAGGTAAGTCTGGGTAGGTAATGGAAAAGCCAGTCTTACCAGACAGTAGGGCTTCCAAGGTGGTGCTAGTGGTAAAGAACCAGCTTGTCAATATAGGCAGGTGTATGAGACACGGGTTTGATCCCTGAATCAGGAAGATCCCCTGGAGGAGGGCATGCAACCCACTCCAGTATTCTTGCCTGGAGAATCCCACGGACAGAGGGGCCTGATGGGCTACAGTCCATGGGGTCACAGAGAGTCGGATACAGTGGAAATGACTTAGCACGCACGCACCAGTAATCCCTGCAGATGCTCTGATCTCAAAAGAAAGGACTCCCAGGGAAGGGGAGAAAGAGGAAACCCACGCTCTATTGTTAGCCCAGCCACAAAGACTGGCCCAAGGCCAGCTCTTCCAGGGAGGACACCTAGAGCTGCCAGCCCCCTTTACAGAGCCAGCCCCGCTCCTTCCCTTTTCAGCCCTCCCCTTCCTAATTGCACCAAGGAAACAGACAGTTCCCTCTCTGACCCCCTTCACTCCCCAGAAGGCAGCGTGCTGCCCCCTGCGCTTGCTACCAGCCTAGATCGCAGTGTGTGTTTCTGAGCCTGAGTCCTGTTTACACCTCTCTACCAGACTGCAAATTCCTCAGAGGCAGAGACTGTTTCTTTACATCTTTCTCTGCAGTGTTTGGCATATAGAAAAGACTCAGTAAATAAAGGCAGCCAGACATCAGCTGCGGAAAAAGTGGAAAAAGACTCAGAGTCAGACCTGGTTCAGATTCCAGGTCTGCTACATCACAGCACATGGCAAAGAGCAGGCACTGCTTCTAGATCCTGGGGGTGAAGGAGTCTTCTGGCCTAGAAAAGAAAATAACAGTCTCAAAGGCCCTTGCTGAATCATCTAACTTCGGAGAAAACAAAACAGAACCTTAGGTTCCGCCCTGAGGCTCGAGGCCGGTTGCATCTATCTGGGACGTGTTTTTTTTTTAAACTATCTGGGACTTATCACCCCCAGTCCAGAAACCTTCCACCCCCTACACCTGCCCAGAAGACTTATCACCCCCTGCCCAACTACAAACGCCATCTCAACTAAAGAATACTCAAAACATCCCGCCTGATTAACGTTTCCCTTATCGCTTCCACAAACCTCTCTATAAATATGGAGCCTCCCTGATCCCTCTCAGCGCTCAGCCTGGTAGACTGTCGCCCCTCCTTGCCTGAATAAAGGTAACCTACTTCTGTTGAGGTCGTCTCTCCTTTTCCGCCTCGGCCTGAACTATACAAGGGGGAGTGATGGGACCTGGATTTTGGTTTAAATTTTGCTGTGGTCTGAAAGCAAGTTACTCAACCTTGCTGAGGCCCAGGGCCCCCAACTGTAAGAAGGGGGAGAGAGCTACTTTACTGAGTTGTTGAGTACTTTAAATACAAAATAATCCAGGTAAAATCACTGGACACACAGCAGGTCCTCATAGACATGTCTGCTCTGCCATCTAGACAAACAGCCCCTCCCCATCTTTATACTTGGGGGGTGACAGCATCCAGGGCCCGGGTCTGACTTAGCCCAGAACAGACTTTAGAAATGGCCGTTCGCAGTAATACCCAGCCCAGCGGACCCCCATTGGAAGAAGGCAGGGACAAGAGACCTAAAAACTCAGCTCTCCACACCAGCTACACAGATCCAAGGTGTCTGATTCTGTTCCTGGCAGGAAGAGTACAGGTCTTTCTATTTAATATAAAGACTGCCCTTCCTGAGAGCTACAGCAAGGATTGAGATGGAGCAAAAGGCCTCTCTCGAATGTTTTGTGATGTTTATCATTAGAAAAGTCACCCAGAGCAGGACAGAACCTTGGGAAGGCAGATGGGGAAGCAGTCCAGACTAGGTTGGAATTTGAAAGAAGGCCCACGGGAAGGAGAGAGAAAGACGGGGTGCCCTGAGTTCCGGGGAGGACGAGATGGGTTGCAAGGAGAGGCCGGAAGGGAAACCCGGTATCACTTCGTAGAAACCTGGTGCTCGAGTGTTAATTGGAAAAATCGTCTCTGCCTAGTGCCCGGGGGGTTGGGGCCCGTTCGGCAGGTGTCCCCAGGTCTGAGAATGTCTTCATGAAGTCCTCCGGGTGGTCGTCCCCTTTAGCCCGTGTAGGAACGCAGGGGCTCCCGGGCGGAGGGTGATCTCCATCCCTCACTGGATCTTCTGCAGGTCCTCAGGCCCAAAAGATTCAGGCAGCAGCTCCTGGACCGTCCTGACAACATACGTGCCGTCCAGCTTGGTCATGTAGACAGCCCAGTCGGTGCCAAACTGGAAGAGAGGCAAAGCCAGTGTGAGGGAGGCAGTGTGGCTGAGGGGTGGAGGCTGCCCTGGCTTGAGTCTGGCCTGGGTTGAGTGCCTCCTGCTGTCTAATGTGCTCCCTGTGCCTCAGTTTTCTCACCTGTAAAATGGGAATGATAATAATCATACCTGGTTCACAGGGCCTGAGGGAGGAGCCAGTGAAAGATGGCATAAGAAGTTAGCACAGAGCTTGGCACATTGCTAAGGGGCAGTAAATGCTCTGTTCTGTGATTAGCACTCACCAACACGTTGGCCACCTGATATGAAGATCTGGCTCATTGGAAAAGACCCTGAAGCTGGGAAAGGTTGAAGGCAAAAGGTGAAGAGGGTGGCAGAGGATGAAATGGCTAGATAGCATCGCCAACTCAATGGACATGAGTTTGAGCAAACTCTGGGAGATAGTGAAGGACAGGGAAGCCTGGCGTGCTGCAGTCCATGGGGTCACAAAAAGGCTGATGTGACTTAGCAACTGAACAACAGTAGGACTTTATAAGAACAATATCTAACCCCTGGGGCCAGATCCCCTCCTGTTGTGACAAATAACAACCCATATCTTCTTCCCTTGGGGCCTCTCGACAACTCCTGAGAACCTGGAGAGGTTGCATTTCTGCCTCATCACACACTGTACAATGAACATGCAGGATTTCATCATCTGCCCTTTGAGGTAGGTAGATATTATTCCCATTTTACTGATAAGGAAACTGAGGCTTTGCAGAGTAACACGGGGGTAAATGATGGAACTCTTTGGGTCTCGGTGTCTTGAGCTGTGAAATGGTTTTAGAGACAAAAGACTTATCAGGCAGGAAGATAGGTGTCCTGGGTGGAGAGTTAAACCAGCAGTGTAATGGAGAGTATCCTGGGGAGCTGGAGTCAACAGCCTGAGGCTCTACCTGGCCAGATGCCATGAGTACTGGAGGCAATGGGTGGAAAGGGCCTGCACGTAGTAAATACCCAGTGGAAGCCGTTTTTAGTGACAACTAGACGTTCCTGGTGATGGCTCAGGTCTGCAGCCTGCTGTTGATGCTTCGGCCTGAATCACCAAATATTGCCAGGCACAATCTGTCTTTTTAAAGCTAATGTTTTAAGGAAGGAAATTTTTCCGCTTGGTGGCCTCTGCCTGAGGGTGTGGGTGAAAGTGGAGTGGAGGTGAGTTTAAGTGCCAGGCCTCCAGCCCCGAAGCTTCAGATCTTATTATTTGCATTTTGGTTTCTGTTTTGCTTCTCTCTCCTTCAGCTTTTCCATTTGCCGTCTCTCATTTGCCAACATCTGATCTGCGTGGAGAAAACAGCCTTGAGCAATTAGATGCCGGCAGGGTCTGGGAAGTCAGGGAGCTGGCATCCTCATGTGCTTGCTGTCTGTGGCCTGGGACACGCCGTGGTGCTGGGTGGCCATTTGCGCCCCTCTAACAGGGGTGGTGAATGAAGTCCCTAATGTGAATTCAGAGCCTTCCTGGTGGCATTTTTCATCTAGATTTGGGAAATGAGTCCGGCTAACTGTGCCTGATTTGCAGGCCTGGCGAGCAGCAGGAGGATGAAGATGTCTGTGTGTTCCAGAGATGCTAGGAACCCCTCAAAGTGCAACAGCGAGGCAGAAACACGCCCCCCACCTCCCCCCAAATTCCAGCAGCTCCCAAAGCAGAAGCCCCCATGGAACAAGCTACTCCGATTCTGCACAGCATCACTTTATCTCCACTGTGGCCAAAAATAATTTGTCTCTTTTGTAGGACCTTAAAGGGAGCGAGGGGGCCGGCGGGGAGTGTGGGCTTTGTGTCGGCCGGAACGGCTATAGTGAGTGCCAGCCTGCCACTGACCGGCTGGCTGTGTGTCCTTCAGCAGGTCACTTGCTTCTCTGATGAATGGGGATAACGACCCACACTTCCCTCCATGCGGGGCGTGGGGATTAAATGAGATGCTGTATTTAGAGGGGTCGAGGATGTCTCATCAGAGCTCAAGGCCTGGGGACTCTTCAAGTTGGTGGCTTTAGCCTTTGGGGGCTCTGGTGGGCACAGGCCCCTTTGAGGGTCCACCAGGGCTACTGACATCCCTCTTCCTCAAATGTACCTATACACATCAAGAACCTCACTGAGCCCAGATTCAGAAGAAAGGATCGAATCCAGCCCCTTGAATTGAAGAAACTGAAGCCTTCCAACCAAGATCTTTGTAAAAAGTACATCAGATCCTTTGAATCCCTTCTTAAAAACAGCCACTGAATTCCCCTTATTCTTTTCTTCCCTCAACTTGAGTTTTAATATCATAAAATATACATACAAGTTATCATTTTAACCATTTTTAAGTGTACAATTCAGTTCCCTTTACTCCTGGAGTGAAATATACCCTCTATCCACGGCCTACTAGACCGTGTGTGATGGGCCCCTGACCATGTCTCTGTCTTCACCAATTACTACCCCCAAGCCCTGCCCCGGTGTTCTAGCCTCTTTGACTTTCATACTGTTCATGCAACTCACCAAGTGTGTAAGCATTAAACTTGCTGCTTCCTCCACCAGCAAATCTCGAGAGCTTGATCTGTCTCATCTTTTCTCATTATCTATATCTCTGCTCAAATGTTATCTTCAAAGGGAGGCCCCTCCCGGCCATCTAAAAGCAGGGGTTGGCAAACTTTTTCCCATAAAGGGCCAGATAGTAAATATTTTAGGCCTTGCGGGCCATTAGGTCCATGTTGTAATTCCTCTCTCTCCCTGGTAAGACCTGAGCAGTCAGAGGGAACGTGTGAATTGATGGGTGTGGATGCATGCCAGTAACACTATTTACCACAACAAGCAGAAGCCTGGATTTCCCTGCGGGCTGTTGTTTGCTGACCTTTGACTCTGACCTAGAGTCAGCTCCACCTTCTGTCACTCTCAACTCCTTTCTTCTGCATTTTTTTTCTCTGCAGCCCTCATCACTCTCAGCAACTCTGTTGATTTATTTTGCTCCTTATTTGTCTGTCTTCTACACTAGACTATAATGTCTGTGAGTGCAGGGCCTGGCCTGTCTTTTTACCGCTGTCTCGCCAGAGCAAGGTCAATGCCTAGCACAGAGCAGACACTCAGAAAGTATTTGCTGAATGAAAGAATAATTTCCAGTGATTCATGCAAGTTTGGGAAGGTGTTAGGAGCCAGCCAACCCAGCTAATAGGACAGTCGCTGCGTCTCTTCGCTTGGCCCAGCTTGGCTGCCGGGGCCTGGAAGAGCAGGGAAGGGCAGGGAAGAGCAGGGGAGATCCATCCAGAAGGAAAGGGAAGTTGCTCACCTCTCTCATGACCTGTCTGCAAGCCCCACAGGGTGAGATAAAATCGTCTTGCAAGTCACTGGGGAAGCAGAGAAACAAAAACATGGGTCAGTCTCTTTGGCAACATGAGAATGACTGCTTAAATTCAGGAGTCCTGCCTGCCTGCAGATTAAGTCAAATCCCTCCAGGCAGTTCCTGGTTCACAGATGAGATGCGTCCTAGAGGCTGAGAAGCAGTGGACAGAACTTTCCACGCTTGCAGGGGCAAAACCATGGGTAGGACCATTCTTCTCATTAGTGTGTTCACTGAATGTTTAGTGAACACTTACTATCACCCACAATCCAGGGACACAAAGGTTAAGGAGAATTTGTCTCTGGCCTTCAGCCCAGTGGGTGACAAAGAAAACTAGATGAGTTATCATTTCAAACAAAATGCGTAAGAACACACGCTAAGCAGGAGATGATCCTTGACTAGGGAGGGAGAGTATTTCATGGAGGAGGTGGCATTGACCTGGTCCTTCGAGGAAGCGTAGAGTTCATAAGTCATCATTAGTGAGCACCTGCTCTGCTCCAAGCTCTGGACCAGGCAGTGGTAGACATTATCTCACGTAATTCTCAGTATAACCTGAGCATCCAGATGACCATTTTATTGTCAAGGACACAGGTTCACTGAGATGAAGTAACAGAGTGCTATTCTGAAGCTCCGGGTTTTTCTCTGTTGCAGACAAGGGATATAGTATGTGCAAAGGTCCTGAGGCATAAAAGAATGAGACACACGTGAGTCCTTGAGAAAACTGGGCACCTTGCATCTGAGAAAGTTGGAGAAGAGAAGCTTACAGCCAAGGGGTTGTCTCTGAGAATGAAGGCACCTACAGGCAGCCTTCCAGTTCTGAGCAGGACAAAGGATGGTGTTTAAAGAAAGAGGAAACTATAAGAACCTCCAAGTCTGATGAACCATCAGAGGTTAAGCCAGCAGTCACCATCATCTTTGCGCTTCTAAAACCCACAGTTCTCTGATGTTTCTGGAAGATCACAGGATTTAAAATTCAATTCTTGATCAGTTCCTCCTTTCGTTAATTACATGTGATTTTGACCAAGTCATTTTAACCCATGCAAGGGTCCTATCTTTGCCTTTAAAATGTGGGGAATAATGTCATCCACATTGTAGAAATGCTAGGATAAAATGAACTAAGATGTGCAAAGCATTTCCTAAACTTTAGAATGCTATACACACATTATTACTGCCTATACTAGTCACTGGGCATTACTCCTTTAGATAGATAAGCTCTGTTATAATTTTCGTACCTTGTCATATACAGCTTTATTATATACTATGTGCTTTACATGGTATAATATTATATAATTAATTTACCTATTTTGTATTAACAATTATCATATTGTTCAATAGATACCTAGAATGTGCCAGACACCCTCCAAAGTATTTTATAGTGTTTATCTCATGTTAATTGACAAACAGTTATTTATTGAGCACCTACTATATGTCAGGCACTGTCTGTGCTGGGGATAGAGCAGTGAACAAAACAGGTGAAATTCACTGCATTCAGGAGTTTTTGACTAATCAGGTGAACCAGATAACTGGCAAACCATCAGCTATCAGCCAACCATATATCAATTACAGCTAGAGACAGATGCTGTGAATTGAATAAAGCAGCTGAGGGGAGAGAGAGTGGAGGGCTGCTGCTTTATTTAACCCTCATGACTACTCTCTTTTACCTGTGGGGGTCCAGTCAAAGAAAGCTTCTGCTCATGGGAAGGTGGGTCCTCACTGAGCACACTTCCACTCCTAGCTTCAGAGGGATCCCTTGGGGACCTGAGAGGGTGGGGACCCCTGCCCAGGATGCATACTGAGCCAGAAGAACCCTTCTGGTTACCAAGCGGCTTATGTTGCAGCCAGAGCCTCTCATTAGCTCTTTGGAGGCTGGACTTGGGTTTTTTTTTTGGCTACACCGTACAGCATTTGGGATCTTCCCCTGACCAGTGATCGAATCCATGCCCCCTGCATTAGAAGCACAGAATTTTAACCACTGGTCTGCCAGGGAAGTCCTGGACTCTGTTATTTTGTATTTATTTATTTTAAAAAAGTTTAAAAAATTATTTATTTTTGGCTGTGCTGGGTCTTTGCTGCTGCATAGGCTTTTCTCTAGTTTTGGGATGGGCTTCCCTGGTGGCTCAGAGGTTAAAGCGTCTGTCTGCAATGCGGGAGACCTGGGTTTGATCCCTGGGTTGGGAAGATCCCCTGGAGAAGGAAATGGCAAACCACTCCAGTACTCTTGCCTGGGAAATCCCATGGACTGTGGCCTACCAGGCTCCTCTGTCCATGGGATTTTCCAGGCAAGAACACTGGAGTGGGTTGCCATTTCCTCCTCCAGATCATCCTGACCCAGGGATTGAATCCCGGTCTCCGGCGTTGCAGGCAGACGCTTTACAGTCTGAGCCACCAGGGGAGTTCTCTTATCAGGGATCAAACCCAGGCCCCCTGCGTTGGGAGTACAGAGTCTTAGTTACTAGACAACCAGGGAAGTCTCTGTTTTTTATTTCACTGCACGCATGTTGGCTGAGAGCTTGCTCTATGCCAGGCAAGCCTGGGAGGGAGCAACAAAGACCCGTCAGAGAATCCCCGCCTGCAGGGACCTTGATGTCTCAAAGGGAGATCAAATCTGTGTGTAAATGTCACAACTACAGGCAGACAGTGATTAGGCTCAGGGGAGAGGTGGGACAAGAAGCATCACAGAAGGTGTGGGGCGCACAGGGACCTTCCCTCCTCTCATACCCCGCGCCCCCACCCTCCGCCTCCCCTGCCTCGTGCTGGGTATTGACAGTTTCCTGTGGTTTGTGCTGACCGTGGGCACACACTGAGGCCAGCTTATCAGACTTGACGGGCTGGAAACCTATTGACTTTGATGATGACAGCAGGGACCCCGGTGGGGCCAGCTCATCTCCTCGTTAGCCAAATCCCCTCTGAGCTGCGCACACTCCATTGCTCAGATCTCGAGGGGGCTCTCTGAGACGGTGCACGCCCACCAGCGCTAACAAGGGAGCTGGCACTTCCCATTCGCCCTCTAAACCCACACCCTCAATTTAACAAATCATTAGCGCAGTAATGACTGCTTTTCCGGCCGGGGATGCCAGTGCCGGCTGAGCACCCAGAGAGGAGCAGTTGGGCGCTGGAAAAAATGCAGTTTTGGTGTAAACAAGGACATTGACTAATCATCACAAACAAAACCCAGTCATGTTGAAGAGTAGACAATGGCCAAGAGAAAAAGTCTTTCAACTGGAACACTCTAAACAGAGCAGGGCCACCTCGCCATTCTCCTTTTGTTGACTTTGGCCTCCTTTTTCCCAGAATATCATTATTTTCTTGGATCAGCTTTGAAATTGAGTTATCCCCCCCACCTCTTTTTTTTCCCCTGAAGTGTAATTCACATCCTGATCTCCGCTCATCCGCACAGAATGTTCCCAGGGTGGCCTCATTTATTCCTCCCAAAGCCGGAGGGAAGCCAGGACAGACCTTGGTCCCAGGCAGAGCTCTCGGAAGCTGAGGCCCTCCTCCAGAAGCGCATCCTTGGCTCCAGTTACTCAGAGGAAAAAACCTTCAATAATGTGGATCACCTCAGGGGCCAGACCGAGCCAAATTGAGGATCTTATCAAAGAAATGGAGGCTGGTTTCTGTCATACAGACCCCATCAGCCTTGCTCCTGGTCCTCCTACTTCTGCCAGAAAAGGCCTGCATCTCCCCGACAATGAAGAGATCATTTACTCCTAGTCCATGACCCATACACCCAGTTGTCTCTAAACGCCAACACTGGGTCAGCCCTGTAGTCTCTTTCTGGGTAGATTCAACATTTCCTACCTATTTTCCCTGTGCCATTATCTTTTTAAGAGAACTCTCTCTCAGACAATGCAATGGTACACATAAGAGCAATTTATCATTAAATCAGAAGTGTAATGGGGTCTGAATTAATGAAACAACAGCCCATTCATATCCCTTGAGTCCTGAAGCCAATGAGTCTGGGTCCATGGCCAGCAAGAACTCAAAGAATTCCCTTTGAGGGCACATGTGGGAACTTGGATATTTATGTTTGGGGCATGTAGAAAGAGTTGTTAAGTGCTCCTGTTCAGCCAGGACTCAGGCTGGAATCTGATCAGTTTAGACCATAACCTGGGTTGCCTGGCTGTCACCCCACCAGCCTGTCCTTTTATCCTGGTTCTTGCACCTAGGGGTGACTGATGCCAAGCAAAGGTGTCAGCTTGCACAGTGAAGACAGGATCCCAGGATCAGCTCAAGGAGAGCAGGGAAGAGGGTTTCATTTCCCGTCACAGCACAGCACAGTGGAATGAGCTCTGGAGTCGGACTCTAGAGATCTATCTGTCCCAGCTTTGCCACTAATTCTTAGGAAAGCTCCTCATCCTCTCTGGGTCTCAGTTTCTTCAACTGTAAAATGGGTACAGTGGCCAGGAAGTCTAATCAGGTGACTTTTAGGTCCCTCTCATTTTAGGTTTCTTTGTGGCCTTTCTATTGTATCTTGTAGGGATGTTATTCCACCTGCACTATTATCAGAACAAGAACACACCTCCCTTTGTCTTAGAGTTGTCCTGATTGTTTATCCGCTCTTTAGGCTTACCAAGGGCAGAGTCTGTTGCTTATTTATCTTCTACTTTTAGCCCTCAGCCCAGCCCCTAGAGTGCCCTGCACATAGGAAGTTCAGAATAAACACCGCAGATGAATGAATGAATGAGTAACAGGTGTGTGGTGGACGCTGGCTGAGTAGATGAACCAATGTTGCTACGACCGGCCTTTCTCACTCACCTGGCAATAGCGATTGCCCTGAACTCTTTGTACCCTTCCGAGATGGCCTTCTGGATGGCAGTTCGTTCAGCACAGACACCCAGCGGGTAGCAGGCATTTTCGATGTTGCACCCTGAGAAGAGAGGAGAGTCCAGCTGTGTTACCAGCAGAACCACTTCCTGTTACATGTGTTGAGTAAGACGCTTGCTCCATTGCAGAGCTGGGAGGGACCCGCTACTCAGAGTAAGTAGGGGAAGGAGAGGGCAATTTGACCAGAAGCACTGGGAGGCTTGCGACTCACAGTCACAAGCATGGTGTGGTTTTCCCAAGGAATTCCCACTCTCATCACTTACCCAGTGCTGGCGTCTTAAAGCAGAACCTGGGAGCAGGCCCAGCGTCACAGGGCTGATGAGCCCACCCTCATCTTCCCAGCAGAGGTCAGGGCCAAGGGAGATGCCAAGGGTTGAGAAGGTGAGCAGAGCCCCTGCCAGGGTCTCAGAGACAGAGGCCACAGGGAGGGTGGGGCATGGTGGATGCTGACTCAAAGATCGGGCCTGGGTCAAATTTTTCATGTGGATGCCAGCTGTCAGAGTTTAACCAGGGTTCTCTGAGTTGATTTGCAAAACAGAAGTGTCAAAAGCAACAAAGGAAGGAACAAAAAGCTCCCAGGCTTTGCAAAGGGTGTCTGATCATACCAGCCTTAAGGCCATCGATTTCCTGCAGTGAAAGGCGGCCTGCCAAGGCGGCACTGCCCACAGTAAGGGAGTCCTCCCCGCTGGCCCTCTGTGGAGTGTCCCTGGGGATAAATGGGCAAGGGCTCTTCCCAGGAGACAAAACTACTGGCATAGCCAGATTGGCTGACCAGCAGACTCCCCATTTTCAGGCAGATGAGGCCATGAACCTATGGCCACAAGAGCTGGACTCTCCCGGGACCATCAGGGTGTAATAGACAGTATGTCACTCTCCCTGAGGCAGAATATTCGTTGTTCCCCAGTATTCATTTTCTCCTTCTCCCTTTAAGTAATACAGGTGATTCCCATTCCAATATTGCTGACCCCCATGGCCGCTCAGAGACTACATTTCCCAGCCTCCCTTGCAGCATTTCACCTAATGGGATGTGGCACAAAGTGAGGGGGGAAACTCCTGGATCACATCTTTTGTAAAGAGACTGCTTGCCTCTTCCTCTCTTCGCTCCTGCAGAGACTGGGGCGGGGTCGGGACAGCTTTGACCATGTGCTTTATGCTCATAAGGATGGAGCGGCAGCAAAACAGGAGGAACTTGGAGTTCTGGTCAACTCCTGGAGCAGGGTTGCGCTGCCTAGGTGCCCTGGTGCGTGTGCCCAATTACTCCAGTCGTATCCGACTCCTTGCGACCCCATGGACTGCAGCCCGCCAGGCTCCTCTGTCCATGGGGATTCTCCAGGAGTGGGTTGCCATGCCTTCTTTCAGGGGAATCGTCCAGACCTAGGGATCAAACCCATGTCTCTTATGTCTCCTGCATTGGCTGGTGGGTTCTTTACTACTAGTACCACCTGGGAAGCCCTAACTTGCCCTGAACCAGCTGCCTACTCTGAATCATTATGGGAGAGAAAAAGAATTTGAGCCTCTGTATTTTGGGATCTTTTGGTTATAGTAACTTAACCTATATCCAACTAAAACAGAAATTGGCAGTAAAAATAAGATGTAACTGTGACCAAAAAAAAAAAAAAAACAACACAAACCCAAAACCAAGTGTCCATGGCTTTGCAGTTGGGAATGGGACTTCCCTTGTAGCTCAGTTGGTAAAGAATCTGCCTATAATGCAGAAGGCCCGGGTTCGATCCCTGGGTTGGAACAATCCCCTGGAGAAGGAAATGGCAACCCACTCCAGTATTCTTGCCTGGAGAATCCCATGGACAGAGGAGCCTGCCAGGTTACAGTCCATGGGGTCACGAGAGTCGGACACGATTTAGCACCTAAACCAATGTGAAAGAAAACAAAGATATGGCAAGAAGGAAAGCTGAAGGCCCTTGATACTCCTGGCAGATTATTTGATAAAGCCCCAACTTGTAATAATGCCTGGAGAATCCCAGGGATGGGGGAGCCTGGTGGGCTGCCATCTATGGGGGTCGCACAGAGTTGGACACGACTGAAGCAACTTAGCAGCAGCAGCAGCAATCTGTAATAAACTGGAAGGCAAACCAAATTACCGACTCAGAGGATTTTTCTACCTGGCAATGTGAGACAGCCCTGTGGCAAAGATCTGATTAAGGCTGTCATTTCCACCTAGCCATTGTTTCGGGTGCTTCATGGTAGCCACGGTTCAAATGAGGCAGCAGGGCTCAGCTGGGCAGGGAAGCCAGTTAGTGAAACATGGGAGTTGGCAGGTTGAAGAACTATTGCGCAGAAAGGATTCTTTGGGTGTGACAGAATTGGATAGCCAACAAAGCCAAAGGTCTCGTCTATAAAAGCCTATAATTGTTCAATCCCTAAAGAAATCCGGGGCCCCCCAGACCCTACTATCAGAAGTAAGCTCAGAGAGCGGTGTGCCCTCCAGGAGGGCATTCTCTTGGACACCCACTTTGGCTGTATGGCCAAGGATGATAATGGTCAAGGAAGAAACTCCCAGAGGGCAAAGCCAGGGGCCTCAGTGGACAAGGGGGTTAACCTCAGGGCAAAAAAGGGAGGCAAGGTAGTCCAGTGCACCACAGTCTTCACACCGCTTGCCCCACAGACTTGGTAACTGCATGGACTGGTGGTCCACAAGTGTTCCCTTTGCCTAACCGGAGATTTGATGATGGTTAGTCTTTCCTACTCCACATCGTGGAGTGCCCAAGCAGGTATGAAGTGAGGGGCAGATGATTGTTTTTTTTAGTTTTCAGGCCCTGGATGATCAGGGCCACATCTCAATCTGAGAAGGGGGACTGTGCACCACCAAGGGATCCTGCTGTTGGGGCTGGACGCAGCGACTGCGTGAACTTTGGGTTGTCACCCTCAGGAAGTTGTTAAGTGGGTCCAATGTGTGTGAAGAAAGATGTACACAGATACTCACAGGTCACAGGGGGTTTTATAACAGCAAACACTTAATTGTTCTCAGTGTTCACATTCCCAGTAGAACCCACTGAAGTTTAGGGATTTCTCTCTGGCAGTCCAGTGGTTAAGATTCTGCACTTCCAATGCAGGGGGCATAGATTCGATCCCTGGCTGGGAAACTAAGATCCCACAGGCCAGGAGGTGCGGCCAAAAAAAAAAAAAAAAAAAATCCACTGGAGTTTAGTTGGGCACATCCCTACCTAACTAGAAACTGCTTTCCCAGCCTCCCTGGAAGCTTCCTAGAGTCCTATAGGTTTGGCCAATGGGATGTGAGTGCAAGTGTTGGATGAAACCTGACCCTCATTGGATCAATCAGAGCAGAGCAATTGACCCACACTGGGCCAATCAGAGCTGAGCACCTACCCTGGGCCAATCAGAGCTGAGCACCTGACCCCCTGGGCCAATCAGACTACCCCTCTGTGAGGGAATTTCAGTTGTTCTCTAACATTGTGAGTTGGGCCTGGATCCTGCTGGCGTCCTAGTTTCTGTTCTTTACAGAGGAGACCAATAGGAGACAGTGAAATGATAATCAACTCAGGTGAGAGATGGTGGGGAAAGAGTGTGGCCTTCTGCTACCGGTTGCCCCTGAAGTATAGAAACACGCCAGCCCTGCCACCATTTAGTTATAGGAACCAATGTAGCCTCCTTTTGCCTAAAACAGTTTGCATGCCTTTGTATCATTTGTAACCCTACAGAAATCAATGAATACAGTCGGGATACAGGACAGCGTGCAATCAGGAAGTTGTAATCGTGAAAGGAGTGGTTGATATTTATGGACTGCCTCCTTTGGCAAAGCATATTCACATGTGAGTTACTGCAGCCTGGAAAGCTGGCCCCTGAATGCTCAGCCGCTCTGCTAGGTCAGTGAATAAATGAACGAGTCTTTCTTGTTCCCTACCTAGTCTCCCCAGCCAGGTTTCTGATGGCTGCCGGAAATGACTTCTTTTAAACATACCCTTGCCTGCTCGCACCTGCCTGCCCCTCCCACCTTTGCTGACCTGTGACCTTGTTTAAGCACCAACTTACCTCAAAATGCAGCCTCACTGAAATGCCACACACAAAAAAGAACCACTCCTTGTGTCTGTCAGGCCGGGATGAGAGTTGGCTCCCTTGCGTTTGATTTCTGCTGTTCCCAGAAGAATTGCTCCCCACTCCACTTCGGTCTAGCAACCCTCCCAGCCCTTGCCTTGTCCCTGACTGAGGGACACTCTTCCCATTAGACATGATTCACATAAATCTTGGGTTTTGCTGAGGTGCTCTTAAAGCAAATGGCCAGACTGCCGGAGGTCCGGACTCTCAAGACAATTGCCTGTGTCTGCTTTTGAAGTTCGGAATGACCTTTTATAGAGAACTCTTCCTTTGCTGTGTGTGAAAACGTCAGTGATCAGTTAAGGAGAGGGATAGAGCGTTTTAGAAGGGAGCGCGCTCACATACCCTACTGTTCAAATAGGATTTTGTAGAAGGAGTCCGTGGGTTCTGAGAATTTGGGAAAGGGACTGAGCCTCCTTGAATGTCTCATTTTCAGTTTGTAAAACGAAGATGACAGCACCTTCCCCGCAGGCCTCTAGTGGGAACGAGTTGAGTTCATGCATGTAAAGCGATGAGCACAACCTCTGGCACAGAGTAAGTGCGCAGCAGCTGGAGCGGCTATTCCTATTCGCATGAGCAAGGCTTCGGTGGTGGGGGGGTGAGTTTCTGCTGCTTCTGCACACGGTGAGACAGTTGCCCTGCCTCAGCCCTTCAGGCGGCTTTCAAATCCTCCCCGTGATTACAAAAACTCCCTTGCCATCTGGTGCCAGCCTGCCTGGACTTCATCTCCTTTTGCTTTCCAGCTGTTCCCCAAGTACACTCCTGCTACAGGGCCTTTGCACTGGCTGTTCTAACTGCCTGGGACTCTCTTCCCCGCTCTAAGCTCACTCTATCTAGGTCTTTGCTTAAATGTCACCTCCTCAGAGAAGCCTTCCCTGATTACTCTATCTAAAATTGCTTCCTCCCTCTACCACCTCCAACTCTCTCAATCCATCTCTCCTGCTTTCACACTTAACACTTTCCTGGAATAAA